GGAGGAGGGACAGTAAGATACCTATAGCTAATGAAAAGGTTTGTGTTACTGGGGGAGATCACTGGTGTAAAATGGAACCCAAAGCACACGTTAATTTTTCCACAGCCTACACTTGAGAGCAATAAAGGATCAAATTATGTCAATCTTCTTCTTCACCTTGGCTTCCCACTTGCTACTGGAAGTTCTCTGTGGCCGACAAGAGTAATGATTCAGGTTGTTCCCTATTCCCTGAGAATCTTTTTTTGGAAGCCTTTTGGGCTAGGGAAAATGAGCCTGTGATTCTTCTGTCTTCCTGTTAATGAGGAGAAGTGACAAAGCCAATCCATGGATTCAAATTCTAAGATTTTCAAGACAAGGTTTTAAGGCTTGAGTGGAAATCTGAGCATGCCTTAAACTGCCATGGAAACCTAACAACTTGTCAGCTCAGGAAGGATCACTGCTACTGTGTGGAGGCTGAGCTCGTGCCTGATGACATTTATGCTGCCTGTCCATGGGTAGCTCACTTTCCAGAGACCCAGCCCTCTATGACTGCTTGAAGGTACAGGGATGGGCTGAGTTTCAGCGAGTGCTGAAGTAAGCACACACTTCCCAGCTCACTCCAAGGGTCACTGAACCATCTGAGGTTTGGCACAAACTGTTGCATTCCCACAGGTAAGAGGAATTTACATTATCAACTTCACCTTATCAACTTCTTAATGAAGAACACCTCTTTGCAAAGGGTGTTATATAATGTAAGATGAATATTTTGTGTCTGAGGGCCCTGAAGTCACATGTGAGTCACATCCTTTTCCATCATGCTTTGCAAGATGATGCAATATGACTTCAAGCGTCACAAAAAATACTCTTCTTTCTCCTCTTAAAGAAAAATGTTTCTTTTTTTTCCATAAAGAAGACCAAAGCTTTGGGTCATGGCAAATTGAGCTCCTTGTGAAAAGCAAGAGGCCAGCAGGGTTGATTTTCAAAGGACAAAACTAAACCCAGTGTTAAATAGAGAAGTTTATTGTTAGTCCTAAAATTAAAATCATGTTAGTCAATGTTTTGATTTTGTCAGTGAATAGACTATTTCCCTACAATGGTTTTCCAGATTAGATTGATACTGTAATTGAAAATATAATGATGCAGAGAAAATTCAATAACTCTTCTACAAGGGTCTGGTACTATCACCACCCTGTGTCAGTCAACAGCTCTTTGGTTTCACAGTTCAGTTAAAGCTGGGACCCTATTAGCAGAGCTTGTGTTGTCTAAGAGTATTCTAGGAGCAGGGAAATGTGATTATATTTCTGATACTTTGCAAGGGAAGCAGAAGGCTGGTTTATGTTTCTGGGCCAAATCCAGTTCAGTAATTTGCCCTGCAGGCCCAGCAGATATCCCTCATGCCAAGTGAGACCGCACATGCTTGTACTTGGGAAGATTTGGAACTTGCACACACCTCTGAAATAAACTCCAAAAGACTACATTGCAATCAAGATAGTCATAAAAAATCCCAAGTAGAGTTTAGAATTGCTGATGTTCAGAGATTTTTGAAAGAATTATGCTTTTCCAGTTTAAATTTTAAAACAAAAACTCAGACCTTGTCACCAACACAGGGCCAAGTAGTGAGGAGGTGACTTTGTTACATGAAAAGCACAATGCAGTCTGCTATGTGCAGCCAGGGTCATACTGCAAAATAGGGAATTCCAGGTGCAGCATATCCTAGATGTGAAAATGGAGAAAACCTTCCTACCTGCACCTTTCAAGGGAGTGAGGGGTCATCTGCTTAGGTCAGATGTTGTGAGTAAGTCTGCACAAAGTCAGGATAGATAATAATGTGTACACTGGCATGATGGACTTTGGAAACTTCCAAATTTCTATACTAAGATCTTACTTTATGCAGTACCATTCCTGTTTCTTGTCAGAAAATAGCTCATGTCAGTCAAAATCCAAAAGTATTATGATCAACACCCTATCTACAATTTTGCAAGTAAAATATCATTTGCCTTTGAAGTGTTAATTACTTTAGCACCTAAGAAATATGATTCCAGGGAAAACAAACTGCTGATTTGATCCAGAATCTCCTCTGCTATCCTCTCTTGGTGGAGACAGATATCCAGACAATTCTGTTCTTCAGCCAAAAGTTACAAGATCCCACTCAAGACTTCCAGCATGTGCCCTCTGTTAGATGGAAAGGGTGGAGCTAGGCAATAATAGCGATCCTTTCTGATTTAAGTATGTAACTGTGCCTTTCTGCAGTAGCCCCATGGGAACAATCACACAGATCTCTGAAAGCAACAGAGCTTATGAAAGAAGAAATAGTGGGAAGGCAGGATGATCCTCATGGCAGGGCTGACAGTGGTGGAGGCTGTTGCTTAGGAATGCACAGAAGCAGCAGAATTACAGTGCGTCTGGGAGTGCTTTCAAGAGAGAGGTGGCTGAGGCTTTGCCACAGAGACTTAAAAAGCTGAATCCTAAGGGAAGAGGAAAGCAAACTGCTAGCATACACTAAATAAGCCCTTTTATGAGTGATTTTGTTTTTGAGGGATTTTTTTGGTGGTTTTTTGTTGTTGTTTTGTCGCTTTGGGGGGGGTTGTGGGGTTTTTTGGCATTTTGTAATTTAAAAAGTAATGGCCTGAGTTTTGGGGCAGGTGGTGTTCGTGCCTGGGCAGTGCAACCAGGGAGCTGCTCCATCGGCTCAGCCCGAGCACTACAGTGCAGCAACAACAGAGGAGTTGAGGAGAAAAATAGCGGGGAGGAGGCACGGTCTGACTGCACAGAGATTAACTCCTTCCCTCCACTTCCAATCTCTCTGCAACATTCAGCCGGAGGGGGAAGAGAAAACTCCATTTATGTCGCTTCCCCTCCTGCAATTGGCCAGAAGCACGCTGTGCTGTGACTGACACAGGACCTTCTGCGGAGGGACCTGCTGCTCCCGTCCTCACCTCCTGCCATCCCGCGATGAAACCGGCCACTTGCAGAGGTGATGGCAACACATCGCAAACACCAGCCGGGTTTTCCTTTCAGCTCTCATCAGATACTGCTCGGTCCCCTTAATTCTTTGGGTTAGTTCCCGTTTTCATTATCTCTGCCTTTGTCTTGCTGATGATGGTGGCTGCATCTCGGTCCAGCTGAACCCGAGCTGTGCAGAGCATGATGCCATCCCAGCCACAAAGGTTTTGAAGTTGTTTCTTTCAAAAGCGGACAGGAAAGTATTTCTCATTCTAAGGAACAACCTCGGGAGGTGAAAAGGATCAGGTGATTCTGCCGTTTAACTCTTTTCTAGGTGGACGAAGGAATATCAGTGTAAAAATCAAACACCGGTGTTCACACACGCATCCCCACCCCAAGCTCACGCTTCTTGTTTGCCCTTTCTAAGCACTTTGTTCCAAAGGTTTTTGTTTAGCCGGGATATTCAGGGAATGGCAGCATTTCATACCGATAGCTGCATACTGACACAAACAGAGCGGAAACAAAGGAACTGCCTCTTACTCATTTCCTACAGTCTTCACGGATTAAAACAAAAAACCAAACCAAGAGCCATCCAAGACACCAAGAACAGGAACAAACCCTCAGCTAACTGGTAGCTTCCACAGCTCTGAATTCCCAGTCTCACTTTCTCCTGTCATTCTCCGTGCTGTGTTTTATAAGAGCAAGTTTGCAAGAACAAAGCTCTGCAGAGAAGCAGATAATGTGCACGTATAGTGCCTTCTATTTGGCACTCCAAACCCAAGTTTTTCTCCAGGCTGTGGTGGAGTAATAGTAGTGTACAGAGATTAGTCAATGCATGATACAAAAGCAACTCAAACATGCTAAAACAACTTCCTAGAGAACAAAGTAAATAGAAAGTAAAAATTACACATTTTGCTTAACAGCTGCACCAACAACATCAAACCCATCAGCAAGTATCATCAGAGATTTAATAGCCAGGGCATTGTCTCTTTCAGTAAGCAGTAGAAATATGTATCAATTGGCAGGCTCAGGATAAAATTCGTTGAGTTGGGGCAGCAGGGGTCTAAAGCAGAGGAAGGTCAACACTTGAGCCTTCTCCAGTTGCTTCAGTTTATCTCAAGTGTAGCAATTCCTTATGCTGTACAGGTCAGATTTAGATTCCTGGGGACCCAGGATTTATGCAGGGCTGCGGACTACACATTCCTGCCAATGATTTGATGGGATTGCCACTGCTGCATTCCCCACAGAATGCTTCTGTATCATACCATTGAGTATAATCTGACTGCACAAAGCACAGCTAAAGGATGGTATGAACCTTAACTACTGCACATTCAGCTTCAGATTTCAATATATTCATGTGTGCAGGTGTGGGCTGATTCCTGAAATAAATGGAAAGTAAGAAAGTGCAAATATTTAATCACCATTTCTTGCCAATCCTGCCATGTGATGCTGAACTAGGACAACACATTTTCACTTTTTCTGTATGAAAATGACAGAGGTCTCAGCATAACCTAAAAGAAAGCTGAGGAGGCTAGAGGAAAACAGTAGAATTAGCAGGTGGATCCTGTGAGATCCTTTTCTATCCTGCCTCTGTAATCTAGCTGGAACATCTGCTATCCAAGTTGACATCAGCAGTCCGGCTAAAGAGAAATGCCTCCTGTCCCTTTACAGCTCCTGATGCGTAGCATCAAATGCTGTCAGTTCAAATTAAGCACTGATGTTTTCTCTCTGTGTCCTGCCTGCTGCCTGACTTGTTGCACTTCTGCATCCAGCTGCAGTGTATGTACTCTGGCAGAGGTTGGTAATTGCCCTGCCCCCTGAACAGTTTGAGGAAACAGCACGGCCAAGTTGGCAAATCACCATAGTAAGGATCAGCCCTGCACATCTCCGAAACTGGTCCTTTCCCTCCCTGTTTATCTCCAACTTTTTGTTTAGACAGAAAGATTGCAATCTAGCAGCCATTCAGAACAGAAGTCTTGTGCTTGTGCAGTCCCCAGAAAACAGATTTCCAGACTCAGCTAAGTACCTGGTCTCAGATGAAATGGAGCAGCACTAAAAATAAGTGGAGCGCACCCATCTTCTGTGGAACTGTATATTTAATAGTGTTTCATATCCAGATGCTTCTGTTTTCTCTAAAGACCAGTTTTCTACCGACATGAAATATCAACAGGGACCATTCAAAAAGTACAAATAGATACAATACTGAAGCAAGGATTTTTGGAGGAGATTAAAAATCTCAAACTGTCAAGATGTAAAATTATATTCTTCTGAAAATTTGACTATATAAAACTCATACATAATTTTTGTGGATCCTGTGGCTTGTCCTCCCAATTCTTAGATTAAATATCTTTTTGGATCTAAGACTGTCATGGTTCCACACCAGCTGGCAACTCAGACAGATAGAGCCACTCACTCAATCCCCCACAATGGGATGGGGGAGAGCATCAGAAGGGTAAAAGTGGGTTGAGATAAAGACAGTTTAATAGGGAAAGTGAAAGCCATGTGCATGCAAACAAAACAATACAAGTGATTACTTCACCTCCCATGGGCAGGTGTCCAGCCTTCCCCAGGAAAGGAGGGCTCAGTCTTGTATAACGGTGACTTGGGAAGGCGAATGTCATCCAGCCCTTCCTTCTTCTTCCCCCAGCTTCATGTGTTGAGCACAGTGCTGTATGGTCTGGAATATCCCTTTGGTCAGTCCTGGCTGTGTGCCTTCCCAAATCCTTGTGCACCCCCAGCCTCCTCGCTGGTGGAGTGGTGTGAGAAGCAGGAAAGGCCTTGACTCTGTGTAAGAAGAGCTCAATGATAACTGAAGCATCCCTGAATTTTCAGAGCTGTTTCCAGAACAAATCCAAAACACAGACCCACACTACCTATTGTGAAGACAATTAACTCTACCCCAACAAAATCAGCACAAAGACCAAACACTCTTCATTTCCTCTCATCTCTTAAATGACATCACTGGACTATTGAGCAAAAGAGATTAGATCTCAGCAAACCCAAATTTCCCTCAGAACACACTGAAGATCATCTTTGACACCATGCCAGATTCTTAAAGGCTACCCAATTAACACTGTTTCATCTCCACAAACTAGCAGGCACTGAGATTCCAAGGCTTTTAGAAGCCATGTGCACAAGGTTTCATACTGGCTACTTCAGGAAGACAAGTGTGGGTCAGAAAAATCTTTTGCTTTGCTGTGGGTTGGAAAAACACTTTTATCTCTCCTGATTTTAGAAACTATCTTCCTTTTTCAGATGCTCCAATAACATTTTAGAGCTTCATCTGTTGGACAAAATGATTTGCACAGTCCAAGCTTTCTTCCTATGTTCATCCTGGAGATGTTGCCCTTACAAACATCTTGCCTAATGTAGCTGTTGACTCCAGCTGCCTTGATGCCCCTAGGTCCATGTGGCGATGGGAATGTCTTCCCTACCCCCATCTGATTGGAGCAATTCCTTGCTAGGGCATATTTTTCATTTGTCAAGACACACATTTCATTGCAGAGCTGTTCTTTGTTGAGCAATAAAGGAAGCTGCCTTCTCTTGCTAGTACAAAACAAGGGGCTCAAAAGGAAACATCTCTTCTCGCAATTTATTCACAAAGCCTGCCCAAAAGAAAAACAACAGAAGAAGTACAGGTTTAGGTCCATTAAAGTGTCCTGAGAATTATATACACTATTTGATTAGACTTTAGTGTGATATAATGGGAGCACTGGAGCCATAATGAACCCACAGGACATCCTGACAAGTTTCCAGACTAAACATAAAACCATAGTCTCTTGACTATTTAATTTGTGTTTATTTTCCCCTTGCATTTCTTCTCTGGTTCCCAAAGCATTAATTTATCTTGTCCACAGCCCTGAAAAACTTCTAAATACTATGAATACTGCATTCTCTGCCTGCTCCCTCTCAGGCAGAGCATTGCCTTACTACTGAAGTCTTCAAGAGGGTTTCCAGCCAGGTAAAGAAGTGCAACTGGCACTTGCTGGGACTTGCACATACAACCACACCCTTTCAAACCCTTTGGAAGGAGTGTCTCAGAGCAGGTTTTCCCTCTGAGAGACGTGATCTTCCACCTGATGACCTCTGGAATGGAAATTAAGAAGGAACGTGTCTTAGTAGGTCATGCAAGTGTTGGGATAAATTCTGCTCCTGGTACTGCTGAGAAAATCCTCTACTCCTTTTTTCTTTCAACCCTTCTTCCCAAATTGAAGAAACACTTCTCATTTGATGTGTCTATTAGATTTAGAGCCACCCCGCTGCATAAGAAAGGCTGATGCAATGAAGGATTCTGCAGTCTCTTTCCAGCACCTCATGGTGCTAAAACAAATACCAGACATTCACCATGGAACACCAAACAGGTGAGCACAACCCAGCTCAAACTGGTCATGCCATAGGGAAAACCTCACTTACAGCAATGTGGAGATTGAAAACTGGTGGGCTTCCAATGTCATCATAGCATGGAGTATAAAAAGAGCCAGCCCAGATCCTGAAATCCCTGAAGCATATGCAGCAGAAAGATTCATAGAGGCTAATTTACACCTGCTACTCTGCAGTTAGTTTGAATACCTCCATGGAGTTTTCCTGAAGGCAAACACAGGGAGAGAGAATGTCAAAAATTTAACATACTTTGCAGTGCTTACTATAAGAACAACTAACAATGATCCCTCTGTGATCATATAGCAGAATAAATTGATTGGAAAGAGCAGGCAAGAAGTGTTTGTTAAAGCAAAGAATCTACTGCACTTCATTCTTCCCTCCAATTTTTGCACAGTTTTGGCACTTTTATTTAGCAAATGTTGTAGTGCCTCTCACTGAACAAGAATTAGGTGTTAGAATAAGCCTCTGCCAATAATGCTGACTACACACTTGTGATGCCAAGCAGATGGAGAAATGCAGCAGAGTGGCATCACATGGATTTTATTAATTTCTCCTTTCTGCTTCTATCCTAGTCTCCACTATTAAAATAAAGATTGCTGCATCTACTGAGTCCTTCCCCATATAGGGTCAATATCCAATTGCTCCTGCAATATGGTCTACTGCTTTATCAGTCCAGTCTTACATGTGCCATAACAATGCTTTCATCACTTTCTTTGTGAGGTAATTCATCAGTCTCCTAGACAACATGACAGTAGTACATAGGTCTGAAAATTAGGCAAGAGAAGCTGTATTCTAATTCCACTGTAAGACATCTGGTAAACAAACCTGGCTCCACAGCTTCTCTCTTCAAGTATTTCAACTACTACCAGATAGTTATCACACCTCTGTAGCATGGCCAAGTTCCTCTTGCTTGAGTCCTTTTTTTTTCCCTCATTGTCCTGTTTGAATGTAAGTGCAATGCCTGGTTAGAACCAGTAGCTGAGTACAGTCACTAGGTAATTTTTAGTCTTGTTCCACACACAATGAAGTGACCAAGCATTTCATTTTAATCCAGATGTTCCCAGTTCTTTATTGAAAGTTGCTAAGATAGGTTTGACACATTTTTCTAACCACTCTGAGTTGCTCTGTTTTCTCAGTTTCCCATAGAGATCTTTCTCATTCAATAAAAACTTTCTTCTAGCAGAATGAAGTATGCTGGATCAGACATTAATTTTTTCTAATGTCTGGCACTTGTCCTTGTTAGGACAGAAATCAAACCCATAGAGAGAGGATTCCTAATTGTGTATAAATGGTCCTTGTTTAACCCAAGGCTGTATGTATGAGCAGAGGCTTCTGCACAGCTGAAATTGCAACATTTTTTAGTTTGCCAGTAACCACACTTATTGGAAGTCTTCAGCGACATCTACACAAAGGCCCAAATCCTAAGAAGTTGGTTAAGCAACAAAGTGGAAATTAGAAATCCCATTACTCATGGGATTGCAATAAAATAATTTATTCAAAGTGACGACCAGGACGTGTATTCAGCAATTCTGAAATGCAGCCATGCTCAGGATCTTCAGCCCAAACTCTATTATAAAATAGGGTGAATCACAATGAATACAACTGCCTTGAAGGTCTCTCAGAGACCACTGGGAGCTTGCCACACCTGTGCAGCAAAAATCAAAAGGAGATCCATCCTCGTCAAGATTTGAACTGAAACTCTGTCATACATGAAACTTGAAGTTAGTTGATAATTACTTCTGTAGGCAAGCAGTAGTAGGTTAAAATTTTATAATATAGGGATCGGAATCAACATAATAGGAAGAAGGCAGCAACTAAAAAGAAAATTCAGCAGAGAATTCTGAGGAGACAGTACCTTTTCCTCATATCTTAATTATCACTAAAAGAAATGCACCAGGACAGGCTGGAGGGAACTTGCTGGGCAGCAGCTCTGTGGAGAAGGACTCAGGGATCCTGGTGGACAACAAGCTGTCCCTGACCACAAGTGTCCTTGTGGCCAAGGCAGCAAATGGGATCTTGGGGAACATTATGAAGAGCATGGCCAGCAGGTCAAAGGAAGGTGATCCTGCCCCTCTACTCAACCCTGGTGAAGCACATCTGGAATCCTGTGTCCAGGTCTGTACTCCTCAGGACAAGAGAGACATGGAGCTCCTGGAACAAGTCCAGTGGAGGGCATCAAAGAGTATTAAGGAACTGAAGCATCTCAGTTACAAGGAAATGCTGAGGGAACTGGCAGGAAGAGAAGACTCAGAGGAGACCTCATCATTGTTAATAAGTATCTGAAGTGAGGGTGCCAAGAGGAGGGAGCCAAGCAATAGGAAAAGAGGCAGCGGGCAGAAACTGATGCACAGGAAGTACAATCTGAACACATGGAAGAACTTCTTTCCTGTGTGGGTGATCACATGCTGGATTGTCCAGAGAGGGTGTGTAATGTCCCTTACTGGATATATCCAGAATCTATCTGGACACAATCCTGTGTCATGTGCTCTGGGATGGCCCTGCTTAAGCAGGAAGGTTTGATCAGATCACTGTGATCTCTTCCAACCTGACCCATTCTGTGATTCTGTGAAATGGTCCCAAACAGACAAATATGGTTATATGCTTACAACATTCTGGATCTAAAAAATTGAGATTCAGTTCTAAAGCATGGATCTGTAACACAAAAGGCTTTTTAGGTATAATTAAGTACAATACTTTGCTAAATCGGGAAGAAAATTGCCTGGCTACTGACTTTGAAACATTTCCATCACCTTTTTAAGAAAGAAAATGTAGTGTCTTAGTGATTCCCCCCTATTACTGAAAGACTTTTCTTCTTCTTTAAATGGGCCATCATAAATGCTCAGAGATGCACAAGGAATGCACAAAGCAAAAAATGGTGTCATGCAAGCACACAGTTTTTTTCTCCCTTTAAAACATACTACCTATCAAAGAAAACATATATCTTAGTTTAGCTCCAGACCATTCAGAGATGGGTGAAATATTCATTCAGAAACTCAGGAACTCATTCATGTACAAGAGAGGAGAAAATGCTGTTGCTGAAAGGAATAAAAAAAGGGAGGGGAACCATAGATACAAAACATAATATTCCTCAAGCTACTATGTTGTTATACCCACTTGTGTTAATATCCAATATTTCTTATTTTAAATTGCAACTTGTATGCCCTGTATTTTAAGGCATCAAATTATACTGCCATATTGAGGATTATTTAAACAATCCCAGTAAGTAGGTCAGTCAGTAATTTACTCTTGTTTTATTAGAGGGTGCTAAAAGAAAAGAGCAACGCCGTTATTTGTTAAATTAACAGCTAGACCCAAATTGTTGGGGGAAAAAAAGTCATTAGTTGAGGAAGGGTTTTGCTAAGATTTCTAGCATAATGAAAAGTATGGCAAAACCTTTGTTTACCACAAAAATTTGTGTAGTGAGCAAACACAATTAGAGCAGCCTCCTTCGCACAGCAGGTTGGATTAAGCATCGGGAGGAACAAAGCAAAGAAGAGCTCTGATGACCCAGGGGACCAAGACAGGGGATGCATTTGGTCTTGTGCAGCTTCATTACACCAGGTTTTTCCACAACCAGAATGGAAAGACTCTAGAAGCTGCTGCTGAGAGAAAAGAAAGAAAAAAGCATCTCAGTCAAATTTCTTTAGAATCACAAGCAAGAAACATTCAGTTATGATTTTGACATACACAAAACCAAAAAATTATTAAATTGTACTTACGAAACCAGAACAGCCTTCTGGCACCAGACCTCATATATTTACTTGATAAGTAATCTCCAATTTCCCAGTGTTCCCACTGGAAATTCTCTCCAGTACTGTAATGTATCAAATGAATTCTAAAGAGAAGGTATTGATTTTGATGTGTGGCTGTAGGTAAATATATAAGGCTAGAATAAAGCATTTAAAAGGCACTAGCTGAATGGCATAGAAGGGGTGAAAAGGGTAAAGATCTGCTCTTAAAGGGACACATCAAGGCCCTGACACTCATTCTTCCTTCTGAAAGCAGCATCAGCAACTCCTCCACGTGAATACTCTGTGGTGAGGGATTTTCATGGGTTTGACTAGAGATGGTGGTAATGTCCTGCCCGTGCATCCTCATCACCACCCAGAATGGACAATTGTGCGCACTAACACTTAGCAGTCATAACAGAGGTAATAAATGGTAATATTCCTTTGGCTCAGTTATTTTACATCAGTATAACTGTTCCCAGGCTGTGGTAATAAACCAAATGTTTTGCTGATGTTGGCCTCAAGAGTTTCCTTGAATGCTAGATCTCAGTTATGGTTTGTCTTTTCCTTTGCTTAGAAACGTTGTTCCATAAAAACAAGTTTTATTCATGAACCTAGCTCTAGCTGGCCTTCCTCAGTGCAAGAGACTGATTCAAAAGTTCAGCTTTCTTCTCCTCCCTCACAATGAAATTTTTTTTCATAACCTGTGAAGCAAAAACATAATTAAATTTCCAAATCACTGCTACAGGATTTTATGTGAGGCTTAACTTTCCAGAAGAGTCTGCAATAAATCAGAAAGGCTTTATTAAGAGCTAATTTAAAATATCCTGGTAAATTTTTTGCCCTTACAGAAACATAGAGAGAAAGTAAGATCATCACATTGTTCTACTATAGAAAAGAAGTAATTTGGGGCAGTGAGCAAGAAATGGGTAGTCAGAAGGTCAGTACTGGGACAATTCCTGGTCTCTATTCAGTTCTCAGTTTTCTAAGCTCACAGCCTGTGGAGTGTAACAGGATCCTCCTATTAAATATTGGAGAATGTTAAGTAGTTACAGAATACAATTTTTGAACTTATTACAAGAACCAGCTTTCCACAGAAGGCAGTATGTCCAAGTCCCCAGTGTTCAGAGCATTAGGAAACTTTGGACAAATGCATACACACAGGCATTTGCACTTTTAAGGACTCAGGAAAACAAGTATAGGCACAAAATATGAAAGTCAATCCATTAGGGTACCAGCCTGATAGGGGAAAAACATTTCATCAGAAATTAATTTCCAAGGAAAGCCCTAGATCCTTTTCTGGCACCTGCCTTGTGATTTATTAGCCCAGATACCTCAGACAGTCTTGTAGCCAGCAGTATCAGTTCCTCTTCTCCAGGTAACCAGGAATCAACCCATTTAGGACATCATGCATCACATTTCATCTGGAAATCCAGAAGCCAGCAAAAATTCCACAGCACAAATAGTTGTTTCCTGAAGAAAACACTCTGCCCATTGACTCTTGAAGCTCATGCTAATCCTGAGGCACAAGCAGTGTGAAGAACACAGAGTTTGTGTGAAATCCTTCAGGTGGCACAAGCATAGACTGCTGTTTTCTCCAAATTCCTAACCTAAATTCATTCCTGACAGCTCAGTGGTGACCTCATCTGTGTCCAGCCCTATGTCCTGCAAGTAGGATAATGCATAGCTGACTAAACAAACCCAAACAAGAAATTCAACACCTTGCAGATGGCATGGCCTGAGTGGTCTCACTATTACCTTGAAATGGCTCTAGCACTGAGGAGAAGCTGACAGAAAAACTGACAATTCTCAATTCACTTTGAGATGAGGAGCATGAGAGACATGTTTACTAAGCCAAGTTTACTAGTGTCTTTTGCCAAGGCCATTAGAGAACATATGTGTCCCTGCCACAATGCCTGAGCATGTCAGTATTTCTACAGTCAAGGGAATCAGAGATGACCCAGAAGGATCAAATGCTGACCACAGGAAGCCACAAAACTAATGCAGTCACCCAAGTTTGTAAAGGGTATACAAACTATCCAGGCTCCAGAGAGTCAGTGGGTGTCAGGCATCATGAGGAATGAATCACCTTTTTCACAATTCTCTCCCAAAATATGAGGACTAAGCACAGACTTATAAATAAGAGAGAGCTAACAGCAGGAGAGCAAACAAGGATCCAGCAATCCCTTGTTTGAAAGCAAGCTTGACTCTGTGCTTTGCCCCCACAAAAATGGCCTTGTCAGTCTGTCCTGTCTATACCTACCATCTCACCGCAAGAGGTTACAGAGACACAGAACATTAACGTATTTCCTCAGAAAAATTCCACTTCAGAAAACCTTTTACTTCAAAAGAAACTGAAAATTAACATAAAAATCAGATCATCTGGCCCATGAGATATGAGAAAACTTTCCACAACAAGAAACAGAGAGCTGAACAGCTAGACTAAGGCAGCAGGATTTTGCAAAATGCCTGTTCTATAGCATCTGTCTGATATCATGAATCAATAGGTTACTGGCCTATGACCTGTGGAGTTTCCCTTCCTTTATGGAGCAGAGAGGAATATGGGCTAGGACATGTTCTAGCAGAACAACTCAGTAGCACAGCACTTAGGCATTAGCTACAAAATGCTGATGAAAAATACACCAAAAGTAGAGCCCCTCCTGGAAATTCCATTTACTAGTATTTTAACCAAACACATTTTTCTGCCTTGAGTAAACAAGCATATGAGGAAAAAATGAACAGCTAAGAGAGGTTTTGGATTTTTTTTTTCTTTTTTTTTCTGTCTAGCTTAAGTAACAAATTTCTGGCTTCTACACTGATGACTTCTCAGTTAGGAGGGGCCATTTGGCTTTTAAAAGCTTAACAGGGACTGTAACTAGATTACTGCTGCTTGCTTGTCAAATGTGTAACCTAAAATTCCATCCCCAACACAAAGCAGTTGGAAGAAGATGCAAAAGTGTCTGCATTTCTGTGTGAATGCAGAAGGTACAGCCTCAAATCCACACAAAGAGTTCAGGTTCAAAGATGCAGCAGCCTCATGAGGGGTGTCCACTGCCCAACCCGAGCATGGCCAGATGGTCAGAGCAGCTCTGACACAATGCCTGGGGGAGGGGGCTTCACAGGGAAGTGGCCTCTCTGGGGCAAGGATGCTGAGGCTGGCCAACCCTGTCCTACAAGCTCTGCCTGCTACAGCTAATGGATGAGTACTGGATGAAAAGGATGAAAGCCTAGAGAACAGTCTAATGGTTATTACGGCATATAATAGGACTGGTAGACCAGGGATCATACACAGACTGAAGCCTCACAAAGAAGCTGAGGCAGGGTAGGATCTTGCAAGCTAGAATCCTGGAGATTATTTTAATATTAAAAAAAAAACCAAAAAACACAACAAACAAAACATAATTGAAAACATTGATCTGGTCTGTGTATCTATACTTCCTGGACAAAAAAGGATAGCAGAAACCAAAAGTATACCTGTATCAGATGTTAGGTGTTAGTATTAAAAAGTTAAAGTGAATTTATATTATTTAACAATAATAAAAAGAAGACTAAGACCTTTTTGGGAGCTATAACAAAGAACAAGTTTTGATTTCAGTCATGGAAAGACATTGCTCTTACATACCAGGTCTAAGGCTTTCTTGAGGAGAGGAGCTCACTACCAAAAGCAAAGCTGGACTGGAAAAAGGAAGGTTATTTTTCTGTACTTCTCAGTTTCAGCACAGAAGCTATTTCAAAGCAAAGAATAAAGTTGCTGTATTTCTTGAGGCAGCTGAGGAAAACCTTCAGGGTTTGCTGTGAAGGTGCAGTAATCTCTGCATTCAGCACAACACTGCACATGCAGCAACATCTTTGGCAGCTGGGCCTTACACACGGTGCCCTTTATGCACAGGAACACAAGGCAGTCCTTAATGCCTGATCTCAAGCCTGGAATTCTGTTCATAAGACAGAGTCTATCAGACTACTTTGACATTTAATAGGACATTGCTCTTACCCTCAAGGTTCCTCAGTGAAACCAAGGCCTTCCCACTGACTTCAGCTTTCCCTGAAAAGTCACTGCATCCTGCAGCCACGTAGACAGCTGTTCCCTACCATCCCCCTGCCATGTCACCATGTCATGCCATTTGAACCTAGCAGCCTTTTCTTGGGACTAATCATTTATTAGCTGCCAGCAAGTAGCTATTTTTCCAGAGTAGTTGGGATGTGAAAAAGGCTGTATTGATAAACTGGGCTCTGAGCCCCTGAGAGAGAGAACAGCCTCTCCCTGCTCACGGCAGGTCAGGCAGATATGACCTCTCATGCTGGAAGCAGCTTTCTGACATGACAGCACATCATGTTCACCTTTGTGTGAAAAAACACTGACTAGAAAAGCCAGAGCTCCTTAAAAGAAAAAGGGGGCTCCCATCAATATTAAAGAATCAAGAGAAATTTCCCCTATCATCAGATGTTCTTTTGCATTCAGATGATGGGAATGAGAATGGTCAGCAAAGCAGGAGAAGCAAAACTGATTTGTTTTATGTAGATATGTGTGCAAGCATCTTCTCTGATCACTCCATCCATGTTCTCACTAACTCTACCATTAACAGGAAAACTCCTTTTTTATCCTGGTGTGTCACTGGCCAGATTTCCCTGTTATCTCTACCTCCCCTCAGAGGCATCTTGGAATTCTTCAAAGAAGTAAATGGGTTTGGCATTTAAGTGACTGGCCTTCAGCTACAGACTCAGCACCCTGAATCATGTGAGCCAGACGTGCCCTCAGTCTTGGAGCACAGGCTCCATCTTTGTCAACACTTCATGAAAGCAGTATCTCCACACCGGGCCCTCCTTGCTGCTGCTGGTGAAACTACACCCTCCTAGAAAGCTGATCCAGGTCTTCAAAACCCACAGATATTTCAAGAAAGCCAAAACTGCCAATCAGCCTTCGTCTTGCAAGACCTATGACTGCACTGCCATGACCATGGTTATTTCTGTCTGAAGGCTGAGGAGGAATGTCAGAAAGTTACAGCAAATCAAAATGAACTTTTTTTTCTAGTTCATCTAGAAAGCTGGATACAAGTTCATTCTTCCTCTAAATAAAGGGAAATGAGGAAGATGTGAAATGCTGAATTTTAGGAGGATCTTTTACTTCACTGCAATGCACTTTTCAAACACCCTTAAGTCATAGAGCAAACCTTTGGGGTAGACTTCATTAACTTACTGATAGGGTGTAAGGAAGAAGATTAGAAAGACAATGAAATAACAGAGGGAGACAGGAGATTAGTGAAACGTTTCACATGCAAAACTAGAACTGCATTGAGCAATCTGTCATCCCAGCCCTTCCCTACCCTCTAATAGCACCATTTCCAGCAAAGGATTTTGTGTTTCCATTATGCTCCCTCTGCAAACTGTTAGTGAAGTGTTACAACTGAGAAGAAAAGCAGACAGACAGCTTCTGAGACTGACCAAGAGGAAGGTGCTGTCTGCAGAAAAACAAAGTCAGAAGAATAGGCAGGAATGTCTAGAACACATTACATCCCTTCTTTTCTGATTCTATCCTTCTGTGATTTCAAAGTACCAGCCCACTCACCAGCTTCAGAGCTTGCAATCCTGCCTCTTGCATCTACCACTGCGGTTTCACACAAATGCCAAAGTCATCAGGATGGAGTCCATAAAGGAGGAAAAAAAAACCAAAAAAACAAAACCAGAAAACAACCAAACCCTGTCAAGCCAAAAAAATCCCTTGTTGCCAAGGTAAAGCCCAGTCCAGATGTGTGGGTAATTTCTCACTTGCCTGTATGAAAAAATGAGTACAGAAAAAATTTCCATCTCTTGCCTTCCATTCTGCTTCCAGGAATAACACAGTCTTTCCATACCTTAGAAGAGAGGCATTAAGCCTCCTCCATGTACATCCATGGCAGTAACCAATTTTATTTTTTTTTCCATGCTTTAGTCCCAGTCAGAGCTGAGAGGAGAGTGAAAAGGCTTTTTACAGTAACATATTTCAATGTGCTTTACAGCCACAAGGAAGCAGGTCAATTATGACAGTTCCTAAAGTGATAATAACTGAGGCAGATTTACTACACTGCTCTTTGGAGTCCAGCAAGACTTTCTATCATACTTAGGGAAGACATCTTATCAAATCTGTAATTCCATTGCACTGAGATACACATACTTATCACAAGCACACTGAGGGAAAGCCTAAAAAGTAAGCACAGACAAATTATCTATTTTTTTTCACTCTGAGTAAACAAATTATTTATCACAGAGACTTTAGCAGAATTCAATATTACATGAACAAAGTAGGCAACTGTCCATTATGACCAAAATTTTGAAAAGCAGACAGAGACATAGGTGCCCACTTTGTGACATTTTACAGTGATCTCTGATTGCCAAAAAAGCAGAGCAACAATCTCTCTCAATCAGCCCAAGCTTGGCACCTTAAATGGATAATGATTTTGAAAAAGCAAAGGGAAAGTCTTTGACAATTCCACCTCTACAGAGTGAAATTGCCTTGGACCTTCATGAACCTCTCCTGAGGCTGATCAAATAGTTTCAAGGCCAACAACATGTAAAATGGTGTGACACTCCCATCTGCAGAATTGTAAGGGCGATACAGCAAAGCAGATACATTGCACTCAAGAGTTGAATCACCAGAGGAACACCAAGACTCCTGTATGTCTTTCAACATCAAATAAAACCAAAGTGGCTTCTCCCACATAACTGATAGGTGGTACTGTGTCCAAATGTCTAACAAAAATTGGCTGGCTTTAAAAGAGATTTTTTCTGGCTTCATTCCAAACAGCTCTCAAACCTGCCTCCATAAGATGCAAGCCTCCAATGTAACAGACATGCAAGAAAAAAATATGCTCAGCAGTTGCATATATTAAATCCTGAGACATTTTCCACTATTGCAGGTGTTGATAGATTATCTGGTCCAAACTTACTTCAGCTCAGATTTTTTATTCTTACCCAAAATACATAAATGAAGCAAAAAAGAACAGAATTTTTTTAAGTCCTCTTCCTGCCATCCCCTAAATTAACCTCTTACATTCTTCCAAAATGTGTAATCACATGGTAGAAGACATTATTTCCCTTTCTGAGCAAGTAGTGAACAAGTAAACTCCATTTTGTTCAATGGAAATGCTGCAGAGATGCACTCAACTCATTTTTTGCCACTTGACAGAAATACTCTATTTTTTCCTTTTATTTTCCCTTTTCATTTCTTCTTTTTTTTTTTTTTTTTTTTTTTTTTCCCAAGGAGAGAAATTCTTGTGCCAGCCCTGGGATATAAAGTCAAAATTACAAGTGCACAAATTATCCATGTTACTGCACCATTGCTGGGTAAGGCAGCCTCTCTGGAAACAATAGCTGAGGCTTGAGGTATCCATAGGGAAAAGAGAACATCGTGCTTGATTTACAGCCCTTCTCATGGGATTTACTCTTGGCAAAGTGCCTGTGTGGTTTATGTCAGAAGGGATACATGATTTGCATGTGCATCCAGTGCTCTCTGTGAGGTAACTCTTAAGTGCTGATGGAACATAAAAGCACTGAGCATCCCATGAATTAAAAAAAAACAACAAAACACCAAAACAAAACCCAGCTAAAAAAAACGCTTGAGAACCATCCTCCATCAGGAAAAGCCAAAGGCCTGAGGCTCTGGTAGGAGAGGGAGAAAGATGAATACCCACATCTCTCTCCAACAAATCCAAAAGCTATGATGAGAATAAATTACTGTTAG